AACCCCTTCATCGCGGTCCTCAATGTGGGCTCGCAGACGGTGGTGGTCCCGCAGGGGACCGTGCTTGCTCACGCGACACCGGTGCCCTGTGAGGAACCCGTCGCGAATCACGTGAGTGCTGTCCCTGCGCCGCGACCACATTCGGACAGCGATGAAGGGTGGCTCGAGGCACTTTGTGCGGGATCGACGGACCTGTCAAATTCAGAGCGTCAACAGCTTAAAACGCTAATGCGGGAATTTTCCGACGTTTTCAGTCGGGACAAATACGATTTGGGTTGCACTCATCTGCTGCGTCACCATATTGATACGGGTGACAGCGCGCCAATACGCCAGAATCCGTTTCGGTTAAGTCCCGCCGAAAAGGACCATGTCAAATCGGCTATTGATGACATGTTAGCCGCCGACATAATTTCTCCTTCCACCAGCCCTTGGGGAGCGCCGATCGTCCTGGTTAAAAAGCAGGATGGCTCATTGCGGTTTTGCGTTGATTTTCGGCGCCTTAACAAAATTTCGGTTGCCGACGCATACCCGCTCCCACGGATGGACGAATCGCTGGACGCCTTGGCGGGAGCGCGATTCTTCTCCACATTGGATTTACTTTCGGGATTCTGGCAGCTTCCTCTGGACGATGATTCAAAGCCTAAAACTGATTTCTGTACACCGCACGGCCTGTTCCAATTCAACCGGTTGCCGATGGGACTCCACTCAGCGCCGGCAACTTTCCAGCGTTTGATGGAATTGGTTTTGGCTGGATTGCAATGGGATTCGTGCCTGATTTATTTGGATGACGTTATCGTCTTTAGTAAAACTTTGACGAACATCTCCAGAGGTTGCGGGCGGTTTTCCTAAAGATGCGGGCTGCTAATTTGAAATTCAAACCCCAAAAATGTCATCTGTTACGCGATTCGGTGCGTTATTTGGGACACATCGTGGGGCGCTCAGGTATTGCTACCGATCCCGCCAAAACGCAGTGCGTCAGCTCCTGGCCGACTTCCACCTCGGTGGGAGAGGTCAGGAGTTTCATTGGCTTCGCGTCGTATTACCGACGATTCGTCGCAGATTTTGCGACGATTGCGAAACCCCTACACGCTTTAACATCAAAAGGGGTTCGGTTCCACTGGGGTCAGGAGGAGGAGGCTGCTTTCTGCTCCCTTCGGGACGCCCTGGTAAAAGCTCCTCCCTTGATTTACCCCGATTTTTCTAAGCCTTTTTTGCTCGACACCGATGCGAGCAACACGGGTATTGGGGGCGTGCTTTCCCAGGTGGTTGACGGCGTGGAACGGGTGGTTGCGTACGGCAGTCGGGTGTTGTCTCCGGCGGAGCAAAGATATTGTGTCACCCGTCGGGAACTGTTGGCAATTGTCTATTTCATCCAACAGTATCGCCCATATCTGTACGGTCGGCATTTCACCGTCCGCACAGATCATGCGGCACTGCAGTACGCCCTGCGAGTTCAACAGCCATCGGTACAATTGTCCCGATGGTTGGAGATCCTCCAGGATTTTGATTTTGAAACCACCTACCGTAAGGGCGTTCGCCACACCAATGCGGACGCTCTGTCGCGCATGCCAACCACCTCCGAATGTGCATGCCTCCTGGGGTCAGGACGTTGCAGGCCAGCAGGGGACATACCGGTTCCGGTCCTGGCGGCTGCCGGCGACGACGAAACATTGGTTCCTAATTCAATCGCACAACAGGGAAAAGATTCCCTGTTGGGGTTGCCCATCAATGAATGGGGGCGCCTCCAGATGGAGGATACCTCTCTCCTCGGGTTGCGTCGTCGCGTCGGCTGTGCTGGGCAGGGCAGGGGTGATGCCGACGCATGGGAATTGGTGCATGGTCTGCTGATGCATTGGGACGGGAAATCCCATCGACATCGGCTGGTGGTCCCTTTGGGGTTGCGGGGCAAGGCGGTGTGGGCCGCACATGAGCGCCTCCTACACCTGGGGACCCAAAAGACCCTCGCCTTACTCCAACTCGATTTTTTTTTGGCCAGGCATGACGAAGGATGTCGGGGATTTACTGGGGTCATGCCCTCGGTGCGCGCAACGAAAACCGCCAGCACGTGTGTCTAACCCACCCTTGCAGTCAATCAAAGTGTCCAGAGTTAACGAACTCGTCGCGCTGGATATTTTGGGCCCATTCCCCGCCACACCCAGGGGCAATAGATATTTGTTGACGGGTGTGGAGTATTTCACGCGCTGGCCTATGGCCTGGCCCCTTCTCAACCAGTCGGCAGCAGCCATCGTGGAGGCCTTTGTTCAGGGTTATGTCCTGGACAAAGGTGCTCCGGAGCGGCTGCTGACCGACCAGGGCAAAAATTTTTCCGGTAAATTGCTCAAAGAAGTCTGTGAGCTCCTGGGGACGAAGAAAATTCGTACCTCCCCGTATCACCCGCAGACTGACGGGATGGTCGAGCGTCTGCATCGGACCATCACGTCAATGTTGTCACAGCAGGTGTCGGACTCACAGACCGATTTGGACTTGCAAATTCAAGGGGTATTGGCGGCGTACCGGATGGCCCCCCACGCAGCTACGGGATTTTCACCCTTCTACCTCATGTACGGCCGCGAACCTGACCCGCCTGTTCGTGCCCAGCTGCAGATCCCCGCGCCTCAGGGAAAAACTAAATTGGCTGACCATGTGAAATTTAATTTGGCCAAATTGACAGAGGCACGGGATGCTGCCATACAAAACTCTGACCTCCGTCAGAAAGCGAACGAGCGACTCAGACGGGGTCGGGCGCACATGCTGCAGTGGAAGCCGGGGGACAAGGCATGGCTGCACTGTCCCCAGGTGCCATTAGCAACCTCCTCTAAGCTGGTGCGGCCGTGGCGGGGCCCTGTGGAGGTAGTTGAGGTGTTGCGATCGCAGTGCGTGCGTATCAAATGGGGAAAGCGGCGGTGGTTCGTGCACCCCTCTAGATTAAAACCATTCGTTGCAGTACACATCCCCACTTCACGCACGCGTGGCCAAACATGTGGGGGGTCGGCCGACTCACTGGGTCCGTCTCCGTCGCTCTCACCTAATGCCTTGCCGGCTGTGCCACCTCCAGGTGCATCAGGAGTGACGGGCTCACGCCCGATCACCCCTCCTGGGGATGCCAAGGGTCACGCGGCGTCGGATGAGGACTCACCCCAAGACGGACTGTTGCCACAGGATGGTCCGCCACCCGGGGTTACCCCATGTGAGGGGCCCGCTGCAAGGACGCGCGCTAAAATGCGCAGACTGTTGTGAGGACGGAAGATGTGTACATAGGTTGTGTTCATTGTGTGTTGTGTGAATGGTGTGTTCCCCGCTCATTGGATGCGTATGCGTTGGGCTCACCATGTGTTGGGTGTGTGGTGGGTTCCCTGCAAATCGTATGTATGCTGTTTTACGGAATTCGTATTTATTCGGGGGGGGGTGCGTCGGGTTGTTTTCTCTTCTTGCTGTTGCGTTCTTGTTGTGTTCTTGTTCTTGTTATTGTTGAAAAATAGTGATGCACACGCGCGGTCAGGGGGTAAATGCGCTTTTATTGTCGTTTTTTTTGTATGTTGGCAGCCGGGACGGCTGCAAGCTATGCGGGGGTGGGGGTGATGTAGGGGTGTTAGAGAGAGAGCCGTTATGCATGGCAGCTTATGGGAAACAAACACAGTGGGCGGGGCTACGTGAGTGCACGGGGGGGTGCTCTCAACGACGTCCGCACCGGGCAGCCCGGGGCCCCACCCCTCAGCGGGGGTTGAGTATAAAAGGGGATGTGTCAGAGGGCTCGGGGGAAAAATGTTAAGCTAACGAGAAGACTGAAGACATCTTAGCTAGAGCCCTGGATTCCCCTAGTTCGACGTCCTTATCAGGGCCGAACAGGATCGAGCCAGCGGCGTGGTTCTGAGAGCCAGAGCCGGTGCTCTTGTCAGAGCAGGTCTGGGACTCCGGGTACCGGGCCCGACTTAGCAGTGTCGGGCAAGATAGCCTCCCCTAGCCCGTTAGTGGAGGACTAAGAGGCAGGCTAGCCGGGTGAGGGGGCCGATACCCCCTCGAGTGTTATATGCCCACTGTTGTGCTGTGAAATAAACCCGTGTGCCTCCAACTCCGGCGTCAAGAGTCGTCAACGGTATTACATATTCTTTTACAAACTTGCCTTCGGAGAAAGTGGTAATGAGTGGTAATGTTGGTGAGAAGAAGTTTTTAAAGAAAATTTAAATCGAAGTGAAGAAAGAAATTATTGAAAAGTTTGTATAATTAATAATTTTTCAAACTTTAATTATGTTTTCTGTGCTTAAAACTCTTTTAAAAAACTGTGGGCTCTAGAAGGGACTCGTGAAATTCGGAGAGAACTCGCAGTTAAGTTTTGTTTGTTTTGTTGAATTACACAAAGTGCGCCATCTAATGTGGAAATGGGGGCATTACAGGAGGAAGGTAAAATTTAATTTAATAATATTTGGACAAGTTCGGCGGGCCGGAATAAAAAGCCCAACGGGCTATTTACGGCCCACGGTCCGTGCTTTGCCCATGTCTGCCCTAGGCTCTGGGTGGGGGCTCTGCCAAAAGGGGTTTGGCAGGAGATGTTATAGGTGCCTGTCCCCCTGGGCCTTCTGCCCAAGCTTAGATTTTTCTGGGGTTTTTGTTTGATGATTTAGTTGAAGTTAGAGTGGTTACCAGCCCCTTTGCATCTGCCCAGACACACTGTTGGCCACTGTGGCAGCTGTGAGCGCCATTAGCAGGGGTCGGCAAAAATTCAATATCTCAAGGGCCGCAATGCATGTGAATAACGTCACGAAGCAGCGCTAAAGAGCCGCATGGGGCTCCGGAACTGCAGGTTGCCAACCCCTGGCCATGAGGCGAACAGCTGATTAGTATCAGCCTTCCCCCGAATAGCATTGCTCACATCACACCACACAGGGTTTGTTTGGCCACACACACACCGTGTCCTCCACACAGACTGCCATGCCAGCATGTGCTGCGGGTGCTCTCGCCCTTTGCTCCCGTTCTTCCCATGGACCCCGCTTGTGTCGCTGCAGTGCAAGGTCCTGGCGCAGAGGGCGCACGCGGCACGCGCCAGCGAGGAGCGGCTGAACCGGGTAGAGGCGGAGAGGGACGCTCTGAGCGCTCGGCTCCGGGAGGCCGAGTTGCAGACTGAGGCCCTGAGCTGCTCGGTAACGCACGGACGCCCGGGTCCATGGCGCACCCCCCTCCTGTGCCACGATAAATGCTGAAACATTACTTGCAACTTACCCGATTGGGCTTATAAAGCATAATCACAATAACGATGCGGAGGCGGTGCAGTTGGAGCGACGCGTGTTGCCTTCACCCCTCCCTTCGACTGCGGGGGGTGGCAGCTGCTGCAGCAGGAGGAGGAGAGGCGCTTCCAGAGCGCCATGGTGGAGGAGGAGAGGCGCGGGAACCGTGCCCGCGAGCAGCAGCTGGAGATGAGAGTGCAGGTGGTGCCCTTGGCTGCGTGCCAACACAGCACCCTGGCACGCGCGCGCGCCACACGCCTCGTGTAGCCTTCTTTCACCCAATTCAACAATGCAGAAAGTCCTCGATTTACGAACACCCGACTTACCAACACCCGACTTACAAACACCCGCATTACGAACCAGGTTCCATGAAATATTTTTTTGAACATTGACTTAAAGTACAAACTCGCATTTTCAGACTAAACCGCGGAACGATTTTGTTCAGCGGAGCAATCCTCCACGAGCTGTAATAAGTCAGCCTCGCGCTGGGAGCGGCAATCCACATGAACACAACGTCGATCAGCAAGCTGCACCATGAGCACCCTACACGATTACAGGCCGACCGAAATTCGGTTTCAGCTCCGAAAGTTGGCAATTGGCCTCTTTCCGCATAGTTTCGGTTTCGGCCGAAAGTAAAAAATTTACTTTCGGTCTGGTTTCGGTTTCGGCCGAAACTGATATTGACTTTCGGTCGTCATTCGTCAACCGAAGATCTATTTTTAGAATATAACGCTCGTGCTACGTCTATCACTCTGCCTATCGGCTGGTCCGTCGGCGCTAGGCAATCCTATGCGATAGGCTGCAAACACACACGTCAGCAGCAGCAGCTTGGGAGCGAGGTTACAGCCGCAACCATGGTCTGCTAATGTTTATACGACCGGTCAACAGACGGCTGCCTGCATCTCCATCCGTGGGTGGAGTCTCTTTGGCAGGACGACAACAAAGTGAATATGTTGTCTGTTCCCAGCCCGCCTTGGCTTATGTGTTGCGTTTGCTTCAGTCCACATGCGTGTTCATACCGAGATTCGAAGTCTGACAATTCGAGGCCGACCAAAATTCGGTTTTGGCACCGAAAGTTGGCAAATGGCCTCTTTCGGCATAGTTTCTGTTTTGGCCGAAGCCAAAAAGTTAACTTTCGGTTTACTTTCGGTTTCGGCCGAAAGTCAATTTTTTACTTTCGGTTTACTTTCGGTTTTGGCCGAAATCAGAAATTCAGTTTCGGTAGGCCTCAATACACACTGCACCATGAACACCCTACACGTTGCACCATGAACACCCTGTCCCTCGAACACCATACACACTGTAGCACAAACACTTTACATGCTACGCATGGACACCCTACACCAGGGGTCGGCAACCAAAATAACAAGAAGAGCCATTTCTTTCCAATTCGGTACAAAATTCAGTATTTCAAGAGCCGCAATGCATCTGAGTACATACGTACTCATCGTCAAGAAGCAGCCCGTAAAGAGCCGCATGCGGTTCCAGAGCCGTAGGTTGCCGACCCCTGCCCTACACGCTGCACCATGAACACCCTACACGCTGCACCATGAACACTATGCAGGCTGCACAATTAACATCCCAAACGCTACATCATGAACATCCCACACACTGCACCATGAACACCCTACATGCTGCACCATTAACAAACTGCACACGGCCCCGTGATCACCCTACACACTGTGCCACGAACACCCTACGCGATGAACACCCTGCATGCTGCACCATAAACACCCTACATGCTGTACCACGAACACTCTACACGCAGAAACACGTGACCACAAAACCGGATTGAGAATCTTCAAACTCGGACTATGAACCCACAAACCTAAACTAGCGACCCATAGACTGAAAGTCGTGTGTACGGTGCACGTGTGTGCGTGTGTGCTCTAAAACAGGACCCTGCGGGGTGGGCTGGTAGGAACGAACAATTGAATGGCTATAATAAAATGAAATGGCAAAAAATGGCCGCCAATAAGTGGATGCCCCGTGGCCCCGCCCTCCACCTGCGTAACCCCGCCCCGGCCACCCGTGGCCCCGCCCCATCTCGGTGTCCCCGCCCCCAGCTCGTTGCCCCGCCCCTTACCGCCGTAACCCCGCCCCAGCCCCGCGTAGCCCCGCCCTCCACCTCGTGCCCACGCCCCCTGCCGCCGTTGCCCCGCCCAGCCCCACGTAGCCCCGCCCCCTACCGCTGTAGCCCCGCCCAATACACCCCTAGCGGGGGAGAGATTCCCAGGCCTGGCTCTAGGCTGGAGAGCCGCCGACGAGGGGGGGGGGGGGGGTAGGGAGTTGTTTTTAATGTAAAAGCTTTAAATTTAAATGTTTCTATTAAAAAACATCAGGGAATGTAACATTGTTAAACATTAACTCCCTTTCACACACGCGGGGGTACGATACGAAGGGAGAGTTTGAGGCCTAGGTCTAGGCTTTAGGCCTAGCTGTAGGCTTTAGGCCGCCATGAGTTAATTTTTAATTTAACTGTTTTTATTATTTATGTAAAAGCTTTAAATTTAAATATTTCTACTTAAAAGCATCAGGGAATGTAACATTGTTAAACATTAACTCCCTTTCACACACGCGGGGGTACGATACGAAGGGAGAGTTTGAGGCCTAGGTCTAGGCTTTAGGCCTAGCTGTAGGCTTTAGGCCGCCGTGAGTTAATTTTTAATTTAACTGTTTTTCGATTTAAAGCTTTCGTGACTGCAGGGATTCATCTTCTTGTTTCTTTCGGTAAAGTCACGTAGAAGGGAAGTAATAAAATAATAAAAATAAAACATAATAAAACAATTCTCACGACGTTTCGGCTACAACGCAAGCAGCCGTCTTCAGGTGAAGAATGAGACACTACCAAACTAGGAGCTTATATATAAGCTGCATTGGGGGTTGAAGAGCGCCTTAACAAAAAGAATGTGCATGTGAAGAGGAATTTAGCATATTCATGGAAAATGCGTAGGCGTTGGGCGGGGGGGTGTCAAAGTCATATTATGCCCATGCATTATGCAGGATCAGCAGCAACCAAGGGGGGTGCAGGGATTAGCAGTAACAAAGGAAAGGAATGTTAATGATATGTAGCTGCAGTTACTCAACAACCACGTAGAAAACTAAAGTATAAACTACATAAAAAACTAAAGTATAAACTGCATCGCACCATCAGTATACTTACTATACTCTATAATAAGCTGAGTTACTAACAGCAAGTAATACATTACAATTCTACCTCGTAAAAATTCTATAATATGCTTCCATCTAAACCTTATTCTCTTATATCACACGAGCATATACCGTACTATATACTGCCATAGATAAACCCAACATTAAATTATATACTGTATTGCTGTAAACCAACCTATATCTTATACATTTAATATAACACTATGTATTATTCTACACACCCTAATGTGTATCGAAATGGTTTATTACGTCCTTCCAATGATTGCTGAGCCAGAATCCATCTTCTCGGTTAAAATTGTCTCTGTGTTTGTATATGTGGATCGCCTCATGAACGAATCTCTCATGATAGCCAGATGGCTTGCAGAGAACCTCTGTCTTGGAGAAGTCGATATCATGTGAGCCCACTGAGTTGTAACAGTGATCTGCCACGGCTGAGGTGTTTGTCCTACCGTGTTTCAGGTCAGCTTTATGTTCACGGATGCGGTCCGAGACATGTCGTTTGGTTTCCCCAATGTAACTGCTACCACAGAGGCAACTTAGTTTGTAGACGCCAGGGTACTGTATGTCTGGCCTTACATTTAGTCGACATAGCGGCAGCTGAAGAGGCAGTCATTTTTTCCACACGGATTGGGAACATGTGGAAAAAATGACTGCCTCTTCAGCTGCCGCTATGTCGACTAAATGTAAGGCCAGACATACAGTACCCTGGCGTCTACAAACTAAGTTGCCTCTGTGGTAGCAGTTACATTGGGGAAACCAAACGACATGTCTCGGACCGCATCCGTGAACATAAAGCTGACCTGAAACACGGTAGGACAAACACCTCAGCCGTGGCAGATCACTGTTACAACTCAGTGGGCTCACATGATATCGACTTCTCCAAGACAGAGGTTCTCTGCAAGCCATCTGGCTATCATGAGAGATTCGTTCATGAGGCGATCCACATATACAAACACAGAGACAATTTTAACCGAGAAGATGGATTCTGGCTCAGCAATCATTGGAAGGACGTAATAAACCATTTCGATACACATTAGGGTGTGTAGAATAATACATAGTGTTATATTAAATGTATAAGATATAGGTTGGTTTACAGCAATACAGTATATAATTTAATGTTGGGTTTATCTATGGCAGTATATAGTACGGTATATGCTCGTGTGATATAAGAGAATAAGGTTTAGATGGAAGCATATTATAGAATTTTTACGAGGTAGAATTGTAATGTATTACTTGCTGTTAGTAACTCAGCTTATTATAGAGTATAGTAAGTATACTGATGGTGCGATGCAGTTTATACTTTAGTTTTTTATGTAGTTTATACTTTAGTTTTCTACGTGGTTGTTGAGTAACTGCAGCTACATATCATTAACATTCCTTTCCTTTGTTACTGCTAATCCCTGCACCCCCCTTGGTTGCTGCTGATCCTGCATAATGCATGGGCATAATATGACTTTGACACCCCCCCGCCCAACGCCTACGCATTTTCCATGAATATGCTAAATTCCTCTTCACATGCACATTCTTTTTGTTAAGGCGCTCTTCAACCCCCAATGCAGCTTATATATAAGCTCCTAGTTTGGTAGTGTCTCATTCTTCACCTGAAGACGGCTGCTTGCGTTGTAGCCGAAACGTCGTGAGAATTGTTTTATTATGTTTTATTTTTATTATTTTATTACTTCCCTTCTACGTGACTTTACCGAAAGAAACAAGAAGATTAACTGTTTTTATTATTTATGTAAAAGCTTTAAATTTAAATATTTATACTTAAAAGCATCAGGGAATGTAACATTGTTAAACATTAACTCCCTTGCACACACGCGGGGGAACGATACGAAGGGAGAGTTTGAGGCGTTGTTCGAGGCTTTAGGCCTAGCTGTAGGCTTTAGGCCGCTGTGAGTTAAATTTTAATTTACAAGTTTTAATTAAAAGCTATCTCAGGGAATTATAAGGGAATGTTATACTTTTTTAGCCAGGAAAGCCTCATTAATTGAAATGTTTTAATTAAAAGCTATCTGAGAGAATTATAAGGGAATGTTACACTTGTTTAGCCAGGAAAGCGTCACTGAGTCTAAAGGTTTTTGTAGGGTCATGCCAAGTGTTTGCAGTAGGGGGCGATGTTGCTACACGGACGGACGGATGGACGGACGGACGATATAATCTATTGTAGGCTGGTCCACTTCGTTCCTACCAGTATCATTCATACGCTATATGTGTGCGTGTGTGAGTGTACAGGCCCTGCGGGACCTGCTGTTGGTTCAGGCCGTGGAGGTGGAGGTTGCCCGTGAGAGTCTCACCCTCTCGCCGCTCAGGTAAGCAGCGCTGTGATGAGTGCGGCTCCCCGAGGGTCGCGTCCGTCGTGGCTCAACCCTGCCACAGTCTCTCGCCTCTGCTCTGCGTGGTGCGTAGAACCAGGTCTTACTACCTAAACTAAACTATTTTCAGTTTAGCAGGTAAGGCCCCTGAGCTAAATAGCTCTTATTTAGAAGCGACCTGGCCAGAGATGATAACTCATAGAAGTGGCTTATATCATCACGTGTGAAAATTTACAGCGAAATACTCGAAACGAATGTTTTTAAAATGTGGAAGGAAAACCCAGAGAGAAATCCACGCGATCACGGGGAGAATATAAAAACTCCAAATATACAGGTGTTAGGGTCATGATCGAACCCACGACCTCTTGCATACCAGGTGAGGGAGTTAACATCTCGCCACCATGGTGCTTTATAGTACATTTAAGCGATAGACGTTGTTTAACCATCAGGTACTGCGCTACGGACAGCCAATCACCTGAGCACCCTCACACATGCTTGTGAATGTTTAAGCATTCTTGACGCACCCATCCATAATAAAGGTTTTTTGGGTTAGATCATTTATATATAAATGTGTCGTAGTAGGTTTTTACCCTTTCAACTGGTACAAAACTGACACCTTTATACAAGGGATCATGTTTGCAATAACCACAACACAAGCAGTCAAAATGCAAACAAAAAGAAACAACTCTGATAATCACGTCATATGGTCCAACACCAATGGAGACTAGGCTCTAAAAAAACGCTGTCTCGGGTGTGGACCAATCAACTTCAAGGACAGTGCATATCATTATCAGAGTTGTTTCTTTTTGTTTGCATTTTGACTGCTTGTGTTGTGGTTATTGCAAACATGATCCCTTGTATAAAGGTGTCAGTTTTGTACCAATTGAAAGGGTAAAAACCTACTACTATATTTTCCCACTGGTAAAGGAGGTCTCATAGTATAAATGTGTCGTTAAAACCCACCACCGCCCGACACAGCCAATTAGTAAGGTTTGTCACGTAAACAAAACGTGCCAATTAGTTATTAGTTCAGTATACGGGTGTGTTGGAGAATAAACCGACAACATTTACAATTCGAGTACAACGTTTTTCCGGTAATTACAACCAGCTTCATCAGGCGACAGATAGAATTGTGGAGAAATCATCTTGTTTCGGTCTTAAATAGAGGGGGTAAGTGTGATGTCGTCACTGTGAGAAATTCAGGTGTGAAGACCAGAGGGGAGTTAATGTAGTCATATATATTACAATTAATATCTATTATTAGTTGGGTTATTCACACATCTACAACCACTGCCACTGCCTAACCTCCCAGTGCCAGGGTGACCCGGGCTCTTCCTGCCTCTGCCAGGGCCCTTGTGCCGGAGTTTGGGCTAAGCGTACCTACATGCGCCACCTCCGCCTCGGTGAGCTACTCCCGCTTTCGCCTCGCGAGGGAGCACCCCTGTGGCCCCCCGCTCCGGGCCAGCGTCTCCACGGGAGCGCCCCGGGCGGGGCGCCCCTGCGACGCTGCCAGCACCCCCGGTGAGGTTGCTTGCACCGTCTGTGCCATCCGTGGCAGTAACAGAGGAGGGGTGGCGGTGGCACTGGTGGCCGTTGCTGCCTGTAATCCGGTGTTGTGGAGGCAGCAGCAAGGGTTGGTGGATCTCAACGGAACGTGTAAAACGCCTTTCCCGTGGGTGTAGAGGTGCCATATTCTAAACAATCACTAAATATTGACTTGAAACTTTTGTGACTACAGGAATTCATATTTTTTGGTTCTTTCGGTAAAGTCACGTAGATAGAAAAAAAGAAGAAGAAAAAACCCACGACGTTTCGATCACAACACAAGCGGTCGTCATCAGGAAAAGGGGTTTAGCCTCTCAAGGCAAGCAGATTATACTTGGAGAGAAAGCCGATAACGTTGGGCTGTGCCGTGCCGTACGTCGAATAAAGAAGAGTACCCTTTACACGACGTGTCGTGAAAGTCGCTCATTACAAAGGTTTAAAATGGGCGTAGCCTAAGTGTTAACAAACGGTGACCCAGAAGCACGTAGGGCGGTGCTGGTGGTGGGTTTCTACCAATTAAAGGGCTGCCAGGTAATTATTGCACCTCGCTTTCAGTAGCATGGGCGGGGTAGCTAATGTTAATGTAAGGGATTAAAAAACGATGACCCAGCAGCATGTAGGGTGGTGCTGACAGGTAATTACATACTCACACTGGTGGCGGTGGAGGTTGCTGCTTGAGGTGATGGTAGTAGTGGGTAGTGATGGTGCTTGGTGGTGGGCTTCCACCAATAAATGGCTACTGCTAGTGGTGATGGTAGTAGTGGGCAGTGATGGTCCTGGTAGTGGGCTTCCACCAATTATGAATTAAACTGGTTGATAACGTCCTTCCAGTGATTGCTGAGTTTGTACCCATTTCTCGGTTTAAATTGTGCCTGTGTCTGTATATATGGATGGCTTCATGAACGAATCTTTGTTGATAGCCAGTGGGTTTGCAAAGTACCTTCGTCTTAGAGAAATAAATGCAATGTGAACCCAACGCATTAAGACAATGATCAGCCACCCCCGAGGTATTTGTCCTACCGTGTTTCAGATCTGCCTTATGTTCACGAACACGGTCCGAGACATGTTGCTTATTTTCCCCAATGTAACTACTGCCGCAGACTAGGCCTCGGCAAGGTAAGGTAAAAGGTAAAAACAGCGAGCCTACCTTTACCCTACCTTTTACATTACCACAATACAATTACTCTACCCTATCTTTTACCCTTTAGCAGGTAAGGTAAAAGGTGAAAAGCAATGAGCCTACCTTTTACCCTTACCCCATACAAATTACCCGATTACAGGGTAATTACTGGGGTGCTACACATGAAAAATGTTTATAACGGTAAATGCTAGGTAGAGCGCTTTACTCGTATAGTATACTCTCAATGATTCCAATTTTATACGCTTGTCATTGTTGTCGTTGTTGTCGTTGTTGTTGTATCCTCAAATCTTGTGACTCAATTTTAACCCATTTCCCAATGTGGTATCGACTACAAACTTGGTATACTTATGTCATACTGATGAAAATACTATATTATATCATAAAAAATATTTATATTTTTAAACATTAGTTTGTATATGTTATGTTTCGGTTTGGGTCTAATTGTCCACGGACAACTGACGTTGGCTGTAATTGGCCACGGTCCCTTACGTTATGGCAAGCTTTGCGGCCACTTCCTGGAGTCGTGGAGTTCTGCCATTACTAGTACATTTAATAAAAGCGTGTTTTTTAAAAAGTATTTTTAAATATTACTGATTAAATGTAGGCCACGGACTGCGCCACTGAGCTTTTAGCGGTAAACAAGGTACCGTATTTACCGGGTAATACTTCGCGCTACCTTTACCCTACCGGGTAATTCTTCTGAGCTACCTTTACCCTACCCTTTACCTTACCCCTTGGCATGTCGACACCTTTACCCTTTTACCCGGTAAAAAGGGTAAATTACCTTATCTTGCCGAGGCCTACAGCAGACACAGCTTAGTTTGTAGACGCCGGTATATTGCATGTCAGGGATTTACTCCTTCACAGATGGGATCAGATCACAAATTTTATGTACTGTTTTAAATCGGACCTGGATTTTGTGTTTGTTCATGATTTTGGAAATATTTTTGGTTACCCCTGCTATGTATGGCAAGGTGATGGTTTTGATTTGATCATCAGATGGCTCCTTCCTCACGGTTGGAGTGATGGATTTGCGGATTGTATCGTCAGAATATCCATTCACCTTGAGAGATTGGTGTACGTGTCTGAGTTCACTGGTTAGGTGTTCATGGTCGGAGATACATTGAGCTCTATGGTGTAGAGTTTTGATTAGGGAATTCTTCTGGGATAGATGGTGGTGGAATCATGTTTTAGGTAGGCATCAGTATGGGTTGCTTTCCTGTAGACAGAATGGCTCATTGAGCCATCTGGTCTCTTTTCTATTAGGACATCCAAGAAGGGGAGCTTGCCATCCTTTTCTACCTCCATGATGAATTATATGGCTGGGTGTATGGAATTGATGTGGTTGAGGAAGCCCACTACCAGGACCATCACTGCCCACTACTACCATCACCTCTAGCAGCAACCTCCACCGCCACCAGTGTGAGTGTGTAATTACCTGGCAGCATGCTGCTGGGTCACCGTTTTTCATCCCTTACATTAACATTAGCTACCCCGCCCATGCTAATGAAAGTGAGGTGCAATATATACCTAGCAGCCCTTTAATTTGTCGAAACCCACCACCAGCACCACCCTACGTGCTGCTGGGTCACCTTTTTTAACACTTAGGCTACGCCCATTTTAAACCTTTGTAATGAGCGACTTTCACGACACGTCATGTAGAGGGTACTCTTCTTTATTCCACGTACGGCACGGCACAGCCCAACGTTATCGGCTTCCTCTTCAAGTACACACTTAGATATTACATTCTACAGACTACACACACAGCCGATCACATGGAGGGTTCTGCCCGTCCGCTTCCTGCCTCGCCAGTGGCTGATGGCATGCCGGGGAGGGCGGTGGAGTTCCGCCGGAGATCTGCCACGTGGCCGAACGACGGAGACACAGTCCGGACCCAAGACTTCACACACCGACCCCGAGTCCTCCGCCGCTTATATTGCCGCATGCACGGCTAGGCTCCACCTCCGGCCACTCCCTCTCGTGGAACTTTCTATCCAGTTCTCGGTTTTAATTACTTGGTCAGTTTCAACGGTCGTGTTATTTTATTTGGTTTTGGCATTCAGTGCCCTGGTGATTTGCGTATCATTGTTTTCAGCGCTTCTTTAAAATGTTTAGTTTAACTTCTTAGACTGTCACCATCTGACACTTTCTTAGGCCGATGTATGAGCATCTTGATGCGAGAGGATTTCTGTGCGGGGTGATGGTGTGACTGCATTCAGTGTGCGATTTCTTTTAGTAAACGCTGTGTTATTTTACCATTTCGACCGCTCCCGAGCAGAAAATCCAGAAATGGGAGAGTTCTGTCAGCTTTCACTTCCATGGCGAACTGGATGGACGGGTTTTGCGAGTTGGGATGATTTAGAAATTCGTTAAGTGTGTGGTGGTCATGATTGACACACACGCGCCACAACCAGGGGGAGGGGTAGAAACCGGTCCGGACCGGTCGGGCCAATGGCGGTTGGAACCCTTCTGAGGGGAGGGGGCTGGCAGGAGCTACGATCCCCCAGAACCCTGCCCCTCAGGGAGAAAGAGTATATAAGGCGGGTCCCTGAGAGCGCGAGTCAGTCCGTCTCAAGCCGAAGCCAGAAGCCGCCTGAAGAAGAAGGAGACCCTGGACCCCAAGCCGCCGACGTCCTTCTAAGGCTCAGTGCGGTGCCAGTGGTCGTGGGGTTAGGACCCTGAGGTTCCCTCGTCCTGATGCCCTTGTGAGGGCCAGGTCCGGATGGGCCAGTGGTCAGGGACCCACCGGGCCAGCGGTGGGTCAGCCTCCCCTAGGTTTAGCTAGCCAGAGGGCTGAAGTAGGGAGAGTCATAGGTACGATAGCCCGGAGGCTGTACCTCCCCAGGTTGTGGGTGGAAGGGGCCATTACCCCTTTGTGTTAGGGATTAGTGTAAACTGTTTGGTGAAATAAAGCGTGTTGCCTCTACGAAGACTCTGTCTCCCTCCAAGAACATTTACAAGTGTATCTGAGCCGTGTAGCCAGACCACCAATGTGTCATCCACATATCTAAACCAAGCAGAGGGTTTTAGTGTGCTTGAAGCTATTGCTTTCGTGTTCCGGATTAATTGCATGTGTGGCAAATGGTATGTTGGGCAAACAGGACGAATGATCAGCACGAGAGTAAAAAACACCAAATAATTTTTCGATTTAAAGCTTTCGTGACTGCAGGGATTCATCTTCTTGGTTTTTTGGGTAAAGTCACGTAGAAGGGAAGTAATAAAATAATAAAAAATAAAACATAATAAAACAATTCTCACGACGTTTCGGCCACAATGCAAGCAGCCGTCCTCAGGTGAAAACCAGGTCTGTCGAGGCGACAGCGTCTGAATGAAACAGCACACGTGCTTGGAGCATATATATAAGCTGGGTTGGAAGGGGGGGAAAGGGCGCCTTGACAAAAGAATATGCATATCAAGAGGAATTTAGCATATTTATGGGAAATGCAGGTATGCGATTAGTACTACTTATGCCCGTGCATTATACAGGATTAGCAGCATCAAAGGGAAGGGATATGGGAAATGCAGGTATGTGATTAGTACTACTTATGCCCGTGCATTATGCAGGATTAGCAGCATCAAAGGGAGGGGCATATGGAAAATGCAGGTATGTGAATTAGTACTACTTATGCTCGTGCATTATGCAGGATTAGCAGCATCAAAGGGAGGGGATAAGGGTAGCATTAATAAAGTGAAGGAGTGTTAATAGTATGTAGCTGCAGTAACTAAAACCACCACGTAAACAACTAAAGTATAAACTTCATAGTATCATCAGTATACTAAATATACTCTACAATAAGCTGAGTTACTAACAGTTAGTAATACATTACAATTCTACGTCGTAAAATATATAATATGCTTCCATCTAAACTTTATTCTCTTACATCACACGAGTCTACATCGTACTATATACTGCCATAGACAAACCCAACATTAAATTACATACTGTATTGCTATAAACCACCTTATACATTGTAATATTACACTATGTATTATTCTACCCACCCTAATGTATATCACACTGCTGTATATTAACTATACAATAACGATACTATATATTACTTTGTACAATATGCTAAATTCCTCTTGATATGCATATTCTTTTGTCAAGGCGCCCTTTTCCCCCCTTCCAACCCAGCTTATATATATGCTCCAAGCACGTGTGCTGTTTCATTCAGACGCTGTCGCCTCAACAGACCTGGTTTTCACCTGAGGACGGCTGCTTGCGTTGTGGCCGAAACGTCGTGAGAATTGTTTTATTATGTTTTATTTTAATTATTTTATTACTTCCCTTCTACGTGACTTTACCGAAAGAACCAAGAAGATGAACACCAAATAAATATTAAATATGCACAAACACAACTGTCGGCAGTGGCAGAACACGCGTGCCAACAAGGACACTCAATTGATTTTGATAATGTTTAAGTTATGTGTAAAACTAGTTACGAACTAAGACTAATTAGAGAATCTATCGAAATTGAGAGAAATTAAAATAAGTTTAACTGTTCAGATAGCTACAGACTAAGTGCTGCTTGGAAGCGAATAATCAAGTAATACATTGTTTAAATGCATGCATATACAGGTCACCATACTTAAATAGGGATTACCATTGAACAATAACAGGTACGGCTATTTTAGTGCACACAATCGACAGGAGGTACAAGAACAATGGGTTTGCATAATACACATGCATAATGTACGTTGATTACCATACAAATAATCCAACCAGAAATGGATACCCATAGTCATTTATATGCATTCATTAACCCCCACCCCCACTTCACGCGAGAAGTGCTCACAAGTGTTGTCATCACATTTACCCCTCTATTTGTGGAGGTGGTACGTACCGGGGTGTAGCGAGCCATTATGTAGCCGGTGTCTACATCACGGTCCGTGCATGGAGTGGCTACATCGACGTCCGCATATAGCCCCGCCCCTCGGGGGCAGGGGGGTATATAGGGCGGTGCGCGAGAGAGCTCTAGGAATTGTTGGAGCCAGTGAAGAAGGAAGACGGAGCAAGCTAGATAGGACCCTGGGACCCCTAGCCCCGCCGCCCTTATCAGGGCCGGGACTCTGTGTGGCTCAGTGGTGAGACCCTGGGAACCCCCGGCCCGACGTCCTTATCAGGGCCGGGTCCGATGGGCCAGTGGTTGGGACCCTACCCTGGCTAGGTCGGGTCAGATAGCCTCCTCTAGGAAATACATAGCCGGTGTCAGGCACGCTAGCCGTAGGCTGTGTTCCTAGGCTGTATAACTGACTGTTACTGTAGTCTGTTACAAATAAATACGTGTTGCTTCCGTCAACTCGTCTCCTGCATAATTCACACCATTACATATTTAAGGAATGAAACAGGAGGATTTCTCCACAATCTGGCTGTCGCCTGATGATGCTAGTTGTAATTACTGTAAAAACGTCGTACTCAGATTTAAAATGTCGTGGCTTTGCTCTCCAACACATCAGTGTGCTGTACGAGTAATAAATTAGCATGATCTGTTTACGTGACAAACCTTACTAATTAGCTGTCGGGTGGTGGCGGGTTTAACGACACATTTATATATTTACACAATCTCAGCCCAAAAAAAACATGTGTTATGCATATTTTATTATCTCTAATGTCAATGCTTCATTGCTTATTTACACTTTCAGTTGGCATTAAGTTCCCATATTTGGCAGCCCTAAAGAGTCTTCCTCACCGGCCACCCATTTATTTTTTTAACCCAGGCAATGAGATTACACTCAAAATCACGCAAATACGTTGTCACATCGCAACTCTAGCCTATAGCCTGAACTTGGGCCAGTGTGTTTACAAATTGCCTGGGTCGATTTTTGGTCCCAGTCTGTAATTGCCTCTGGACGCCCCCTGTGTTCCCCAATCAGACGCACACTCCGCAACCAGCCAATCATTGTGTGCAGGCTGATGCTCGGGTTTGATGACAGTCTCGATGTGCAATGACCGGCGGCTTTCCTAATCGCTTGCATTTCAAATAAAGCAGCCGTCATGTTGCTATTGGTCCGTGGAGTAATTACTACGACGAACTGTTATTTATTTCACCAGGTAAGGCTCACTGAGCAATCTGGCCACAAATGATAGCTCAACGAAGTGGCTTATCATGTGGAAATGTATAGCAGCCAAATGCTCTAAACACATGTTTCTAAATGTGGACAGGGAAACCGGAGGACCGAATTAATTAATTAATGCGGGTTGCCCTTCAACGACTCTATGACTTGAGTTGACTTGAGTCGAAGAGCGGCCATACAACTGATAACTGATGTGGCTGGGTCTTCCCTTGTTCCCGTGCTGGGTGCAGGGTGGCCCAGCAATCGTGCGGCCACCAGGAGGCCCCTCACCATGTCCGCCCTGGCCGAGGCCCCGGCAGCCCCATGGGGCAGCCTCCTCCGCCGGGATGGTGACACGACGCGAGGGAAGGGTGGCGGCATGGAGAGCGGTGCTTCTGCTCCTGCTCACTCCAACTCCAAATTCCCGTGGAGGTAGCCGCTTTCACACTGCCTCGGGCACTGGTACTGCAGTGCTGAACATCGTCATCACCATCACTGGTACCACAGCGGGTTTTGGCTAGCCGTTGAACAAAGACGGCCACTGCATCGCGCGCTTTCAGTTGCGCTTCTGCGGCCATGTGGAACGCTCTTCCTTCTAGTATTAAGAAGCCACTGGAGCTATGTAATTTTTTATCTAGATGGAAAACTAATTTTTAAGAACTGCTTTTTGTGTTTAGTTTGTTGTCTTTCTCCCGTACCTCCAATTTGCACGGTTGGCTACGTACGGTGTGAAAGAAGTTCAACATGCATACATACTGAACTTCGTCATCACCAATAACAGTACAGTTGTAATGCGAGCAAGGATTGAGGGGGGGTGGAGTCTGGGTCACGTGGGGAGTGGGTGGAGTTAGGGTCACGTGGGGGAGAGGATTTAGGGAGAGAACCGGAAGGGGAAAGGGGAGTTGAGACGGAGTGAAATACGAGGAGGCCACGCTGGGCAAGACGGAGAGTGTGGCGCGGTTGCCACGCGGTGGGAGACGTCGACACTGACGGCCATCGGTGTCAGACGAAGAGAGCTAACAGGGCAGTGAGAGGCTAGCTGTGAAAGGGGCAGCAGTGACGCTAGATAGCGGGGCAGCGGGGTGGCTGCAAGGATCGCCCGACGGGGCAGCAGTGAGACTGCATATTGGAACAGCAGGGAGCCTGCACAACGGAGCAGCCGAGGGCTGTGGAGAGGTCGTCGAGCGGGACGCGGGCCTGAGCGAGACGCCGTGGTACGGAGATTCTACGAACTTAATAAAGGACAACGGAGATCGACATCTGAGAGAGAGTCCTTTAATACATTGGTGTCAGAAGTGAAACGGCATGTCAAAACAGCTCAGGAAGAAGACCGTCCCTGCACCATCTTCGGCAACATCTTCCGACGACGATCTCCCTTCAGCGGTGGTGCTGCCCACGATGGAGGAAGACAGCGGAGCGGGGACGAGCAGGGGTTCCAGCCGTGCAGGACGTGGCCGCCTCGGTGGGCCCACCCGCGCGATTGGACGCTGACGACGGATGGAGACAGGTGGCGGCGCAACTGGAGGTGCTGAAGACGGTACTGGCGCAATTGTGCGTTCTCGTCATGCCGGCGACGACTTCGGGGAGGCCCGGCGAGGAACAACGGGCCGGGGCCTTGCCGTCGCCGTCAGCCCTCTCGACCATGCGGCACGAAGACCCCATCTTGGGCGTGGCCGAGGAAGAACGGCGGGAAGCCGCCATCTTGCACCCTCCGCCGCGGGAAGCCGCCATCTTGCACACGTTGCAGAGCGACGCCATCTTGTCGCTGCCGCGCATGTCACCATCAGAGGAGGACGGAGGAGCAAGAACCCGCAGCCGTCATTTGACAACGGTCAAAGAATTCTCAATCGGCGGCGATTGGAGCGCATTCGCCTGCCGTTTTCAAGCGACCATACGCTCCGCCATGTGGACGGACGCGGAGGCCCTGGAAGTCTTACCAACACTTCTCGACGACGAGTCTGTCCGGTTCTTTTGTTCCATCAAGGCTGACAAGAAGAAGACGCTGCAGGGTGTCTTCGAGGAGATGGCGGATGCGTACGAGCCTCCGGACGACGCCCATCGGAGATTTGTTCAGCGCCAGCGGGCGCCTGATGAATCGCTGGTGGCCTACAGAGGCGCAGTTCTAGAACTGGCGATGGCAGCATACCCCGAGATGGAGCCCGATTTGTTGGAGCCCCTCGTGTTGGGCAAGATGCTCGAATTATCTAGAGACCTTGGGATCCCCATGCCGGTGTGCAGCCATGATAAATTGACGTCCCGTGCTGTGGCTAAGTGCTTGGATGCTCAATTTAATCTCCGACACTGGAAGCAGGTGTCGGCTTGGACGGGGGGGCCCGTCGTTGAAGGCGGTGCTGTGGGGTGGGATCCTACGAAGGCGATCTACGTTCCTGACGACAAGGGACCGCAGGAGTTGACGGCTGCCTCCGCCCAGTGGCCTGCACGGGGGGGGGACGGGGACAAGGTCCGCGCCGCCAGCGCGGGATCGTCGGGACAGGGGGGGTGCTGCGCATCGGAACGACGTCGAGTGCTTCCGCTGCGGCCGTAAGGGCCACTTTGCAAGGGACTGCTGGGCTCGCATCCCGGGGCCGCCCTAGCAGGAGGCCTCGACCACGGACGCCGCACGAAAAGACCCACCAGTACAGGCAAGTCGGTGCGCACCAGACACCCGGCAAGGCCTGTCACCTCATGCATCACCATCGCCGCGCGGTCCGTGTGTCGTTAACAACAAGGTGCCTCCAGTTGACCCGGGTCACTCGCTGACGCAATGGCGCCGATTGGCACACAGGGTAGTTGCGGCCGCTACGAGGTCGTCCACGGTACCGGGTTCCATTCAGGGGGTCGAGGTGCGTATTTTGGTGGACTCCGGTGCGTCCGCGACCATTATTTCGGATGTCATTTTCCATCTTTTGGGCATTCCGCCAGGGAAAGTGCGAGCGGTTTATGATTCATGCATAGCGGCGAATGGGGGAAGTATGGGCATTGTGGGCCAGGTAGACGCCAACATAACCATCGGGGGGGTGTCGGCTTCAGGGATCGTGTTGATCTCTAGGTCCCTCGTGGTGCCCTGTTTGTTGGGGACTGATTTCCTGGCAAAAATGCCCATTCAAATAAGGATTGATAAAAACTGCATTGAATTACCGGGGGGGGGCGTAAAATTTCGTTCCTACCGTCGCCATGGGGCCGGTCTGCCCCTGTTTGCCAGGTGCAAGCGCTGTCCGAGGTATCTGTTGACATTCCACCTGGTTCGTAGATGCTTATCCCGTTGAGATATCGGAAGCCAGTACCTGGCGTTGAGGGAGTGGCAGGGGTTCTGTTATCGCCGTCTACGGCTATAACGGGCGGCTCGGCGCTGGTCGGGGCACAAACAATTGTCCAGCCGGGCCAGCCCCCGTTTTTACAGGTGCTAAATGGGAGTGCAGAGAATGTCAGTGTCCCGGCCGGAACGGTTATGGCTCACGCCACGACCGCGTTCACGACCCATGACAACCGGGTCTGCCGGGACATGGTAGGGGGGGTTTCGGGGCCAACGGGGCAGGATGACCGTTGGGTTGCCGAGTCATGTGGGGAGAATTCGTCCCTGACCAGGGAGCAGCGGTCCGCGCTTCGTGCGCTGTTGCTAAGTTATTCCGACGTGTTCAGCTCGGATGATTTTGACTTGGGACGCACCTCTCTGCTTTCCCACCACATTGAGACGGGGGATGCTGCTCTGATTCGGTTGAACTCGCATCGGTTGAGCCCGACGGAGCGGGATCAGGTTCGCGGGGCAGTGGAGGACATGCTAGCCGCTGATATTATATCCCTGTCTAACAGTCCATGGGGCGCGCCGGTGGTCCTTGTGAAAAAGAAGGATGGGAAACTGCGATTTTGCGTCGATTTTCGTAAATTGAATAAGGTGTCTGTCGCAGACACGTACCCACTTCCGCGTATGGATGATTCCCTCGATGCCTTGTCTGGGGCGAAGTTTTTTTCAACATTGGATCTCTCTTCAGGATTCTGGCAGCTTCCCCTTGACGAGTCTTCGAGGGAAAAGACGGCTTTTCGCATGCCACAGGGACTGTTTCAGTTTAATTGCCTTCCGATGGGCTTGAATGTGGCTCCAGCCACTTTTCAGCGGTTGATGGAGCTGGTGTTAATGGGTCTGCAGTGGGAGACATGTTTGATTTATTTGGACGATTTCATCGTCTTTAGCCGCACATTTGACGAACATTTGCAGAGATTGGAGACGGTTTTTGCTAGGATGCGCTCCGCAAATTTAAAATTCAAACCGAAAAAGTGTCACCTACTGCAACAATCCGTGCATTATTTGGGACACATAGTCAGTGTGGACGGGGTGGCCACGGACCCGGAGAAGACGGCGTGCGTCCGTAACTGACCAACCCCGGTCTCGGTTGGGATGTCCGTCGCTTCTTGGCGTTTGCCTCATACTATCGCAGGTTCGTCCCAAACTTTGCTATGATTGCTAGGCCCTTGCACCTCCTTACGGGTAAGGGTCGGAGGTTCAGTTGGGGTCCGCCGGAGGAAGCGGCGTTTCAGGGCCTACGCGATCGGTTGGCGACGGCGCCGACATTGGACTATGCGGATTTCGATAGACCGTTTATTCTGGATACGGACACTAGTGACACTGGGATTGGGGCCGTTCTGTCACAGTCCAAAGGCGGCGTGGAGCGCGTGGTAGCCTACGGTAGCCGTGTACTGTCCCCGGCAGAAACCCGCTACTGCGTCACTCACCGCGAATGATTGGCTATTGTCCATTTTCTCCGCCAATATTGGCCGTATCTTTACGGCCGGTCATTTATTGTGCGCATGGACCATGCAGCTCTGCAATACGCCCTGAGGGTTGACCAACCATCTGGCCAATTGGCACGATGGTTGGAGACCCTGCAGGAATTTTCATTTGACATACAATATCGGAAGGGGTCGCGTTACGCGAATGCGGAAGCACTCTCCAGATTACCGCAGGGGTCCCCTTGCGCTTGCGCGTCGGGTACGAATAGGTGTACGCCGGTTCAGCTACCCCCTCAGCCTGTCGTGTCAGCTGTCGAGATGCCTGGGGCTCCGGTGTGCCCAGGACCGGCCGATGGGGTTCTGAACCTGCCGCGCTCGGTATGGATTCGCGAACAATTGCTTGACGACTCGTTGGCGGCTTTACGGAGTCGGGCTGCGAAGGGAGCGGGAAAATTGCTGTCCGGTGGGACGCCGGGGGCCGCTCTCCGGGATGGGTTGCGCATGTGGAGAGAGGGATTGCATGACCGCTGGTGTCTGGTGGTACCGTCGTCGCTACGGTACGAATTGATTCGGACTCTGCACGGCGACACTTTGTTACATCTCGGGGTGCAGAAGACTTTGTTAACATTACAGCGTGACCACTTCTGGCACGGCATGACGACGGATGTCATCGGACACATTCGGGCATGTCCCGAGTGTGCCCGGCG